AATGACCGCACGACATGCGTGTACACTTGGGGGGGGGGTTGAAACAATTTACATTTAGAAATTGCTTGTAAATTGAATTGAACAAGTCACCTTTATTTATATAATTCTTACAAACGACATTGTTTCAAAGCAGCTTCACAGTATTAAATAGCAAAGTAACAGAATCAATCAAGCTTTATCAAATATGTGGCAAATCCAAATAAGACAATAGTGTCATTATTCAGCTCCAGTCCGTTCAGTGTTGATTCAGTTTGGTTCAATAACTGTGTAAAGTTCAATTATGAAACAAGTTCAATTCAGCTATAAGCAGCTTTACAGAAGACAGTGGTTTCATTATGCAGCTCCAGTCAGTTCAGTGTTGATTCAGTTCAGGTCAGTAAGTGTCAGTGTTGCAAGATTCGTCAATTGAATAAATTCGATTAGGCTATAAAGCAGCTCTACAGAAGGCAATAGTGTCATTATTCAGGTCAGTTCAGTGTTGATTCAGTTCAATCAGTTGATTCAGTTGATTCAGTTCAAGTTATTCGGCTTGAGTCATTCAGTGCTGATTCAGTTCAGGTCAAAAACAGTGTCGACGTTGCAGAATTTGTCAATTATGAACAAATTCGATTCATCTATAAAGCAGCTTTACAATAGTGTCATTATTAGATTTATTCCAGTTCAAGTTTTGTTCCCATCTGATAGTGTCAGTGCCATCAAATCAGTAATATTACTGAATATTAAGGGCGACAGTGTCAAGAACGTGAATTTTTTTAAGTAGAAAGACTGAAATAATATGTTCTTGTAAAACATACTACAGTAATCTTTGTTTTATTTAAAACTTTAAAAAAAAATTGTAAATCATGGTAAACATTGTAAATCAGTTAGTCTTTGTCACCATTGAGAGCATAGTATCTACTGTTTGCTGCATTGAGGTTGTCTATAATGCCCAAGAAAAAGGCACAGTCACCTCTTTCAGCCGGTCGTTTGCTTTTCTTTCCCTTCGTCTATCCATCAAGACAGTATCTGTGCTTATCTCACGGTTCATCAGCCTCGTAAATCTCCCCCTTAAACAGCAGCCCTGAGAGTGTGCACTATTTTCTGCTGAGTTAGAGGAATCGGGAAGCCTTTTGAAAGGCTCCTTCGGTCTGACTGCAGTCCAATCTGCGTGGAGCGCTGGGAATCGCTTGATTTGCTTGGCCGCTTTCTGAGCCTCAACTCTGTTCGGTGTCGGCGGCCCTTCTGGGTGCCGGAGAGGATGGAGTCTGAGGGCTGTTTACTTGCTGACAAAGTTTTTCGATGAGAATTATTATAACAAGCCTAGGGATTTGACAGTAGAGTCTCTCTTCCTTTAGTCTGAGTCAAATTAGAGTTTGCCACTTGGCACAACAATTATTGTCACTGTTGGTGCTTGATGCGAGGAGCGGAACAGTAATATTCTCTAGGGCAACAGGCGAGATTAATCCTAGTACACAAGTGTGACGGATTCTTCTGGTTCTACTAAACAGATTTATCGTCCGTCCTGAAAATCTGATTATAGACACATTTCTGTAGTGAAAATGGCTAATTCTGCTACAGTATTGCTACAGTGTCGTATAGATACAGTGCATTTAATCATTACTCATATTTAAGCAAGTTTTTTGAAACAGAGTCTCTGTGGTTTAACAACAAAAGCAGCACAGTGTCACATAAATGCAGATCCAAGGGTCATCAAAGACTCATTCATTTTTCATAGGATGTTTGGGAGGATATTCTGTCTCTCACTGTCGTTATTTTCAGGATGGATGGTTTGCAGTCAAGCCTCTGCCTAACCAGCATCTGTAACAAGCAGCTAGACACAATGTTAGACCCAAACGCTTTATCATGCTAATCATTATCTGAAGCTCTGCATCTGCAACGACAACCAGACCAGACCGTAGGGAGCAAAGAAAAATAATCTGATTTAATATGTCTATGAGCTGTAAATCCTTAAAAAATGATAGAACAGGGATTTTCAAACTGGGGTCTGGGGAATATTAATATTGATATTGATACAACATTACAATGTACAGTAGTGTGAACCTTCCAGATAATATTTTACACACATTTATAATGTTTTTATTTTTAGCAGTCCTATGTCAAATCTTTATACATGGAAGTATTGTATGATTATGAAATGTTTTCATTTGTAAATGAAATAGTTTTGTAAATGGAAAAATTAGTTGTGAAAATTTCTAATTCAATAATTGTATGTAGTAAATATATAAATATTAATATTTTTATACTGAATAAATACATTTACTGAATCTGACATTTTTACAGTTTCATTCTGCTTTCAAAAGATTGGTCATAAATAAGATTAATCACAAATTATTTTTATTCTGTTAATAAATAAGACAAAAAATACCATGTCAGTTTGTCATGTTTTAATAAATAAAATAGTTTTAAAAATATAAAACGATGAATGTGTATATGATACACATTTTAATAATATGTAAAATAGTGTTGTGAAGGAAAAATAGAGTAAAAATGTACAAACAAAAGAAGAAATTACAGAATTTACTGATTTGATTTTTTTCTTGTTTTCTGAGGATTTGTTAGAAATCGTAAGATCAGGGGTTTTCCCTGTTAAAAAGCATCAGGACCAGCTTAAACCAGCTCAAACCAGCAGCCATGCTTCAAAACAGCATATGCTGGTTTTTTCAACAGGGTTTTTACTTTCTTATCCTTAGTTGTATGTTTCTCTTCAGTTTTATACATATTACTCGAATACTGGAATGTTGAACTATCCTTCAAAATGACAGCTTAAAAAAATCTCAGCTTTAAAATATCTCTACTAGTGTTAAAACCAAAACTGGTCCCTTGTGTTGCTTCGTTAGATGTGTTTTAGTATGTCATTGCAGAAGTCATGTACATTAGATTGCCTTTCCTGGCCTCCCTGAGAACTGCATCCTGCCTCTTGCTGAATCAGCCTTAATGTGTGGTATATAGACTGCTGTTCTAGCAACACCCTGACAAACGTTCACGGCGGACGGGCCATGTTGAAGTCTTGTCACATATCCCTTGACAGTGTCGTGCTGCATACATTGCCTTCTGTGTAAAAGCTAACAGATCATTACTGCTGCAGAGAGGTCCTGACCATAGCACACAACACCCACCTTCCTCTTCCCCTAAATTCACTGTAGTCTGTCACCCTGTGGGAGATAACATTGCTCCACAACACGTCCTGACAGGATCCTCCTGCCTTTGCGTGTAGGCTACTTATCAGAGTCTGGCAGACATTACTGCTCTTGACTGTGCCTTCAGCTTGGAGGTTATTCTAGTAAACCGGTCAAAAGTCAAATAAACTGTAGCTTATGCATTTTAGTATTTGATGACTAAAAATCAGATGACTAAAAAATATGAATGCTATACTTTGTCTAAAATCAATTTGTTAATTATATATGTAGTTGCATTTGCTTGATCAAAAATACAGTAAAAATAGTAATATTGTGAAATATTATTACAATTTAAAAATAAATGTTTTTTATTTTATTATAAAATGTAATTTATTCATGTGATGAGCAATTATTTTAGTTTCCGTGCCAAGTAGTACCTCAGAAATCATTCTAATATTCTGATGTGGTGCTTAATTTTAGCAATGAATATTGCTGCTCAGTTATTAATAATAAATATTATTGACAATGTAGAAAACAGCTTTTGCCGCTTAAGTTTTGTGAAAAAATATGTATCTTTATATTTAAAAATGTATCTTTAAATTTAATATTTATCTTTGATCAACACGTCCTGACAGGATCCTCCTGCCTTTGCGTGTAGGCTACTTATCAGAGTCTGCCAGACATTACTGCTCTTGACTGTGCATTCAGCTTGGAGATTATACTAGTAAACGATCAAAAGTCATAATGTTGCTAGTCAAATAAACTATAGCTTATGCATTTTAGTATTTGATGACTAAAAATCAGATGACTAAAAAATATGAATGCTATACTTTGTCTAAAATCAATTTGTTAATTATATATGTAGTTGCATTTGCTTTATCAAAAATACAGTAAAAAGAGTAATATTGTGAAATATTATTACAATTTAAAAATAAATGTTTTTTATTTTATTATAAAATGTAATTTATTCATGTGATGAGCAATTATTTTAGTTTCCGTGCCAAGTAGTACCTCAGAAATCATTCTAATATTCTGATGTGGTGCTTAATTTTAGCAATGAATATTGCTGCTCAGTTATTAATAATAAATATTATTGACAATGTAAAAAACAGCTTTTGCCGCTTAAGTTTTGTGAAAAAATATGTATCTTTATATTTAAAAATTTATCTTTAAATTTAATATTTATCTTTGATCAATAGATAGTTTAAAAGAACATCATATATTTGAAATAGAAACCTTTTGTAACATTATAAATATCTTTACTGTCACTTTTGATCAATTTAATGCGTCCTGACTAAATAAAAGCATTTTTAATATAAAATCATACTTAAGCTCAAACCTTTAAATGGTAGTATATCAGAGTTTACAAAAAAAAAAATTAAGGAGCAAAACCAAGCAGTTTTCAACATATATGATGATCATTTAAATTTTAAATTTTAATAATTTTATTGTGATAATAATAAAATGTTTCTTGTGGACCAAATCAGCATATTAGAATGATTTCTGGATCATGTGACACTGAAGACTGGAGTAATGATTCTGAAAATTCAGCTTAGCATAAATTCTATTTTAAAATGTATTCCAATCAAAAACAGTTTTCTTTTCATTGTTTTACTATTTTACAATATTTCTGTTATTACTTCTATTTGATCAAATAAATTATTTCAAAAACATAAAAAAAAAACGTAATTATTCCAAACTTTTGACATATGTATAAGTAGACTTGGAAATATTTGCACTTCTATAAAATGTATTCGTCATACCACATGTATTTAAAATCCCTAACTATTAAGGACAAAATGGTGCAAAGTTTGGATTTTTAACTGAATTGTCAGCTTTACCTTTTACCAACAGAATTATTGTTATTTTTCTCTTCTTTTTCAGATACCACAGTCTTTTTCCCCCGATTTGATGGTACCTCTTTCTTGGAGTTGCCGTCTCTGACATCCCTGTTTCAGTCAGACACTCACTTTACGAGCCATTCCTCTGAAGACAAGAGGACCATGTATTTGACAATGAAGAGCAAGACACCTCATGGTACTATTCTCTACTGTGAGTATCTGAGAGCCACTGGGAGAATACAGCTCTTAAAACAAAATTGGAGTTTTGTGGCTTTTAGTGCTTGTCTGGAACAGTATCTTTGAGCTCATCCATATGCTAAAATGAATTTTTAGGATATGTACACATTTAAAATTGACTTTCTCTTCTCAGAATCCAACATATAGATGACTCACCTTGCACACAGGGACGCATACTAATTTTTGTCTATTAAGATGCAGTCTGAGAATATCCTCTTCCCCTAATACCATCTGCGTATAAACAAGGGGTCGAGGTTTGGCCAGCCCCGTTAACCCCTGCAGCTAGACTACATTGGCTGGAAATATACAATTATGGAGCAAAAAGTACCTTTCTCATTTAATGGCCATTCAATTGTTTCGTATTCTTACAAAATATCATTTTTTTGAGCATGTAAATCACAAATATTTCATCATATACTACACTACTGTTGAAAAGTTTAATCTGGAGTCAGGATGTATTTGAAAGTCTCTTATTCTTACCAAGGCTGCATTTATTTGATCAAAAATACAGTAAATATTGTCAAATATTTTTATAATTTAAAATGACTGTTTTCTGTTTTAATATATTTTAACATGTAATTTATTCCTGTGATGCAAAGCTGAATTTTCAGCATCATTACTCCAGTCTTCAGTGTCACATGATCCTTCAGAAATCATTCTAATATGCTGGTATCTAATATTCTGGTATTATTGTTATAAATGTTAAAAGCAGTTCTGCTGCTTAATATTTTTGTGGAAATCTTTTTTCCACAAAGTTCAAGAGACCAGCATTAATTTGTAATAGAAATTGTTTTGTAGCATTATAAATGTATTTACTGTCACTTTACTGACACAGTGTAATGCATCTTCGCTGACTAAACGTATTAATTTCTTTAAAAAAGAAAACGGTAGTATATATTTCAATAGCAAGTATAACTAATGGATGTAAACGCTGGATATTTTAAAGGGAAAAGCCATTTGAAAACTGCTTTTCAGTAGCTAAATGTTCAAAGTGTTATGTCACTTACAAATCAGTATTTGTGATTTTAAAAAAGAGTTTGGGTAATGCATTTCTTTCCATTTATATTCTTGTAGATGAGATGTGTCCATATTTTTTAGGCTTTCCTTTTTCATTTTGCTCCAGAATTATATTTAAATACAATTTACCATGGAAACCTCATTAGGTCTTCAAATATTTCTAGCTGAAAACTTGCACACAGACTTTATTATCTGTGCTAATTTCAAACCAGTGACATATTCGTCATAAATGATATGTTTCTATGGCTACCTGCTCATTGCTTGCTCCAAGATTAGGGTGAACAGCTGTATATAAATACACACAGCGTATGTAAAACATAATATTGTCAATTTGATTTGAGACACAAGTGATTAATTTTGGCATGACATTCATGATATATTTGCTGTTCGCATGTGGCTACTGAATAGCAATCACATCCAAATGATGCAGAAAGTTTGACTCAATAACTAACACTCTGTCAGTGTGTGTTAATGAATAATTGGCTTCCCAGCATCGCTCACTGCGGATTACACAAACTGAGTTATGACACTGTGAATATAACTGTAAGCCTCAGTGCTAAATTAAAATGCCGGACCGTCGACTGTACCTCTTTATCCAGTAATGAAGTCCTCTCTCAGGACATGTTAATGACATAGCAAATGTCTCTAGGTGAAATCATTCACACCAGGATATGTGCTGTGGGCTGAATTTAAAGTTATGACGGCTGATCCCATTAGCTAATTGGCAAACCCTGCTGGATGATGCTCTTCAATTACTTTGTCCTAAACAAATATGGTCCCTTGGCTGGCCCGAGCTCCAAATGAATGAGTATTTGGGGATTTTTACCTGTAATAGAGTGAATTAGATTTACATTAATTATAATGTATTAAAATTTTAAGTAGTTTCATTATTGGAAAACAAGAATATATTATAAACGGTCCGTTTTGTTCTATTAAACGTTGCCTTGCTGACAAATCTCTGTTGTACTTGAGAGTTCAGGATTTTAATCAACTGATTGACGTAATAATTGGCTATACATATTAACCATATGTCCAAAAGCACTCATTGTTAATCTGGTACCTTGTAAACACAAATTTGTTTCCAGGCGGCTTGATTAAAAGTCCTGTGCGCCCTTACTTCAGCAAGTAAAGTAAGTCAATGAGATTAGAGCTTGTCAGTTCGAGAGTGACCATTATTTAGAAACAGCAGAAATCAAGCAGTATTTTTTTAACAGAACGTTAACAGAACTATTTTTTACCCTCCCCCATGCAAATGTATGGGATGATGTAACTAATTGTGGGCGGGGACCATCTTGTGGTTCTAATAATACTATCTGTTGTACTAGTAGAACCACAAGATCGGCCCTACCCACACTATATAATAAATACTATAATTCTATCATATTTATTAGATTGGATTTGACAAAAAAAAGTTTGCATGCTCAATGTCACAAATTATTATTTGAATAATACCCTGGAATATCTCCTCTTCTTTTTACATTAACATTAAATTATTCTGTGGCTGGGTGAAATTTTGATCCACAAGTATGAGACGGGTAAAAATGCTTGTATTTTGCATTTCTCACATTTTCATTCGAACTTCTAATAGAATTGCAATATAATATAATATTACAGATCAGTATTTGTGGTTAAAAAAAGAGTTTGCATAATGCTTTTTCTTTATAAATTGAATAAAATGAGTCATCAGCAATAGTTTTTACCCCCTCTGCAAATGCATGTGATGATATATGTATATTGTATATACTGTATATTGTGCTCATGATGACTCACTAGAGGTGTGAAATATTGTCACCATTTGAAAGGGAAGTGCTTTATCAATCATTGTTTTACTGTCATATTTGCAGTCGACATTGTTCAAAAATGTTAAGCTTATTTCAAATGACTAAAATGCAGTCCATATTACATCAGTAGCAGCGGTCTTAGCAATCACCTGACATTTAAATAACCTGATAAGGAGATGAGTCATGTCTATAAATTGTTGGCACTAAAGGCAGAGGGGCTGGATGGACTGTCATCTTTGAATGAGATTGCTCTTGAAGTCAAGTTAGAAAATTCATTTTACTTCCACCCTGTCAGATTAGTCGTACATATGCAGCTCACCTGACATGGCCAATATGACAGGGTTTATCTCATGTCTCAACCTGTCAGAGTCCTCGTGAAATTCCTTTTATAGATTAGCCATGTAAAAAAAAGACAGGGAGCAAGCATTTGGGTTCGTTCTCTCGTTCGGCTTGTGACACATTCATCAATTTAAGAGGAGGGGAACTGACTGATTTAATTAGAATGTTCTCCCAACCCGGCGTGAATGTGATTAGTAACTTATTTATTTTTCTGCGGCGAGTGGACTTTTGATCAATGTCAATTTTATCCAGATAATTTCAGTTCTTACAGTGGGGTCCAATAGTCTGAGACAACTTGTAAAAATGCTTATATTTTGTTTTTTTCTAATTTGAATATGAAATTGTATCATATTTATATTAATTAATTAGATTAGATTAGATTAGACAAAAAAAGTTTGCATGCTCAATGCCACAAATTATTATTTGAATAGTAACCTAGAATATTGTCTCTTCATTTTTTTTTACATTTTCAAATGTGATAAGAAACATATTTATTTTTCAAATTTTAATACAAAATTCTAATAGCATTGCAATATATAATAATATAATATAATATAAAAAAAAGTTTGTATGCTCAGTGTCACAAATTATTATTTGAATCGGGATTTATAAACAATACAGAATATTTCCTCTTTATTTTACTTAACTGTTGTCTTAAAAAATTATCAAATAAAAAAAAAATTCAAATGTGATTAACATACAGGTATCTGTGGTAAGTAACTCATTTTCGGTTTCATACAAATAATTTAAATTCTTACACTGGGGTCCAAAAGTCTGAGACAGCTAGTAAAAATGTTTGTATTTTGCAAATTTCTAATTTTAATACAAAATTGTTAATTCTGTATTACATTTCAAGTATGCATACTCAGTGTCACAATTTCTTATTTGATTACTGAAATAATAACGAATATTTTCTCTTCAACTGACATAACTTTTCTTTGTTTTTAAAATTTCTAACCTTTTTAAAACGTCCATAAAACTTGTTTATTTCCTGATTTAAATGCTGTTATATTACAGTGTGGTCTCAGTCTTTTGAACCCCACTGTATGTCTCTCTAAGAAACTTACCAGAAAAGAAGCAAAACACCACTGGTATCTGATCTATAATGTAATTCCAAATCAATGAATTCTTCAATGAATAAAATTGTATTTCGCCTATCATTAAATTATTAGCCTCTTGGGTTCAAATGTTTTTCCGCTGGTGGATCATAACCCTCAGATGTGTAGGTGTGCATCCCAGTAGAAGCTCTCTTGTCTGAATGTAAGAAAAGGTAGAACTCTAGAGATCAAAGGAAGCTGATCAGAGGACATGCATCAGAATGCAGAAAACTGCTCAGAGTTACACCTGCATCTCATCCGTTCGCTCTCTTCCAAACAAAACCTTCCCGCGAGCACAATGTGAGACTCCCGCTGGGCTTCAGTCATCAGCCGACAAGAGGAATTGTGAATATAACAGGTGACAGGTACTGACAAGAGAATGCACGCACCGTTAGACCCAGTACAGGGTAACAGGGCCATTGGGACAATAAGGAGTAATTTGTCATTTCCTTACACACCATCCCCTTAACATAAAGATGAAGAACTACAACTGTAGTTGATGCAGTAGGTGCCAAGTGCATCTGCAATCACTGGGGTTGTTGCCAGATATGCCACAGTAAGCAGGAAGCTCCACAATATTATTGTGTGACTACTGGAGCTCAAGTGGGAATAAAATAGGCGGTTATTGATTTAGCTGTGATACCTTGTGCTGCTGCACACTGTAAACCATGATGTGCTTATGTACTTAAACAATATACTTGTATTTCCTGAAATTCTCATGATTTGTTCTCACCACTTATTGTTGGCTGTTGTGAAATTGAGGAGAAAACAATGAAATGAATTATTCATTTAAAAAAAAAATGATTCTGTATGGTCAGATAAAGTTAATATAAAGGAATATTTAGGAACTTACATTTTAGACACATTATTATAAGTTTCTTTGTGGGGTTTTTTTTGTTGTGCAAGCAAAAATAGTATTAAACGAAGTCTGCAAGCAACAGCATAGTAGCATTTAATTCCTGAGTGAATGATTCATTGACCCAATCATAAAAACAGTCAGTTGTTTTGTTCTTGAATGAATAAGCATTTTTAACAAATCAGTTGAGTGAGTGATTCATTGACTCACTCTTAAGCACTTGTTTCGTTCCTGAATGAATCAATGTGCTTGAAGGAGTCGGGTAATAACATATAGTGAGAAAACAGGTCATCTCTAAATCTCATTATGATAAACTCAGTGTGAAATATTGCTCATCTTTTTCAGCCCGGGAGCAGAATTTTGGAGTCCGTTTCCTCCATGTGTTTCTCCAGAATGGAAGACCAGTGGCCAAGTTGGGCTGCAGCAGCATTCATGTTTTGACTGCAGCTTCTCCACAAAATATCAGGAACAATCGCTTGGTGCCAATTATAGTGAGGTGAGAATTGTTTCATTTACAGTATTTTTTACACTGCAAAAGATCATTTTCTTAGTATTTGGTCCGGTTTTATAATATGTGAAAATTCTGAAAACTACATTAAATAGCTTGAGAAGCCGAATTGTGAAGATATTAACTCTTGTTTTCAGTAGTTTTTCTTGTTTTATGGAGGTTTAAGACAAAAATACTGATTGAGTTTTTTTTTTTTTTTCAGTGCACTTTGTCAAGAAATTATTCTATTAGCTAATAGCATCTGTAGTACTCTTACAGTTTGAATTTAATAAACACACACATTCATGTATAATTTCCTACAGTGATTTTGAATTTTCACATTTTTTTCTGAGCCATTTGATCTGATTATTTTCATTTTTAAAGTTGCATAACTAAATAATGAGGGCATGGTAAAAAGTTTTAAAAGTTTTTCATTTGGCCTTACTGTATAAAACAAGAAAAAAAAAGTTTAAATGTGTTTTAATAAAAATCAATCTCTGGAGAAATTAAAGTGCCATAGTTGAAGAAACATCCAAATATGTGTTCAGAAGTCATAAAGATGTTTTCAGAAGTCAATTCTATGTATGTTTCCTATATGCCAATTGTATGTGATCTTGCAGTAAATAACAGCTACAGGTGTTTTTTAATATTTAATGTGTTATCATTTATAAATGATATAGCAGCAGCTCTTTTCCAGGTTTTCTGTTTGAGTATATGCTCTTTGAATCACATGCGTTTTGACATGTGAATGATGTGGGAGTCACATCAAAGCTGCATTTTCATATGGCTTGGATTTAATGTTTTTCTTTGTTGTAATTTCCATAATCACACAGCAACAGCGAAATTTACTGCTGCATATTAGTCATTGTTCCTTTCAACACATAACTATAATGCTAATTAACATTATCTTGAGGGAGCCAGTCACCGCTCGTACATAATTCCATAATTAATATAATGGACTGAACATATATAACCACTCAAATATGAGATGTATTAAAGTTCACAAACTATCGCACTATTACATTTTCCATTATATATTTAGTAAATATGACCATGCTTGAATGTATTGCTAAAGTCATTTGCATATGAATTCAAAAGGCTTGAATGTCAAGAGGCTTGTTAATAGAATTGCATTTATTCACTATTAGCATATCTATTGCTATTACTGTATTAAATGATGCAAGTGAATCATAAAATATTATAGTTAGGCCTTTCAATTTAACATGTTAGTGCAATTAATTTTTTTGAAAAAATTGTGTTAAAAAAACAATCATGAACTTGAAAGAGCATCTTTAAAATGCAAGACGCAAGATGCTGAAATACAGAGACAAAAGTCTACAGTAGGCCAGCAGTTTAAAACTATTGCAGATAGAATACAAGGATCAATTAATTTTTAATTGATTGACAGCCCTGCTTAGACTTAACCTGAAATTAATTACTTGTTCTAAAAAAAAAATTACAGATTTGTATTAGTATGATAATAATACATGTGGCATGTTTATAACCCTACGTTTAATTTATGCATTTATTCAATTGCATTTCAGCTCACCCCTGGATGCATGTAAAGCATGTAGTTTAATGAAAACTCTCCAGATGTAATTGTGTTCTGAGAGCAGTTAAGCAACATTTTATTGCATATATTTTTGAGCATCTTAGCTGTAAGGCTATTTTGCGGATGTATATAGCAGTCCTCGGCCATTAGGTTTCTGATTTCACTTGTATATTTGATGGATTTCTTGAACAGCTTTTCTTCCATAGATGCCAAGTACTTCTAAATTAACAATCCGACAGCCTGTATCAGTTGTCTCTAGATATTCCTGCTGTCTTGTTTGACTCAGTGGTCTCATCTCTTAGGACTTGGAGAAGGTTTCTCTCCTTCTGTCACTCGTCTGAGGAAATACTCTGGCTGATGGAATGGAGATATTGTCAGATGTGCCATCTGCACTTTTCTGAATATCTGCTTTCTTTGTTCTCAGTAAGAGAAAACTGAATAAGTAATTCTTTTGACATTGGCACATCCATGTGCAATAAGATTTTGAATGATGATGTGAGATACTGTAAAAAATTGTGCATGAAATCCTTTAGAAATACGCAATTCAAAAGGTAGAATGAGAAATTAAAGTATTACATTGATGTGACATATCCTAGAGCAGGAGCATCAGTTACAATTACAGGGATAGTTCACCAAAAAAAAAAAGTTCTGTCATCATTTACTCACAGTCATGTGAGTCACCAAACCTGTATGACTTACTTTCTCTGTGAAGCACAAAAATATCTTAAGATTTTTTCCATAAAATGAAATTCTATGGGATCCAATGTTGCTGGCCTTTATTGCATAAAAGATAAATACATATTATTCAAATATTATTCAAAATATCTTCTTTTCTGTTCCTTCCAAGTCATACAGGTTTGGAATGACATAATGGTGAGTAAATACTACCAGAATTTTCATTTTTTTTGTGAACTATCCCTTTAAGATCCAAGGTAATTTTATAAGATTAAAAGAAGAATGATGCTAAACACAGACACAAAGGAAAATGAAATACAAGACTTTGATTTTATTCTTACAAGTCAGTTCTAGAGGCAAAATGTGAAAACAGTTTTTTTTTTAAGTGTCTTACGTAGCAAAATTGTGCATTTATACCAAATCTCCTTAAACAGCAAGTTCAACAGGATAAAAAGAAATCCCTCTCTAGTTACAAATTAAAGCAACAATTGACACAGCATGGTGTCTGAAGCAGTGAGTAGAAGACTGTCTTGAATTGGCCTGTGTGTACCAGCAGCTAAAACCTTTTAAACGGAGTGCAGTATTGTAATTTAAATAGCATTAAGATTACAGCAAGTTAAGGACATCATTGCAAACAAATAAACATGCATCCTGCTGTGCCAACAACTCATGCTGAAGGCAACTGAGAGAGTGTGGTTTATTCACCTGTTGTCATTTTTAAGGCCAATTATCCTGCTATTTTCATCTCCATATACAGTGTGCACCTTGTCCCTGACCCCGTGCACTGACATGAGGGTCTAATCTCCTATTGTCAGATGGAGAGAATAAACCTGGCTTTGTTGATATCAATAATTCTGCCTCTTGAATTTGAGGTCATCTCTCTGGGTCTGCTAGAGCCGTGAAGATCTGATGAGATCAGGTGTTGCGTGGTACTGGATCAAGGTCAGCCAAGTGGCACTTAAGCAGAATTTTAATGCAGCTAGAAAGAGTGTGGTACCTTTCATTAGAGGAGAGAGTCTGAGTGGCAAGTTATTTAATTATTTCTTTTTAATTAACATAAATGTGTTGCCGGTTTTATGTGTGTGGTGTGATTTTGGGGGCTGTACGTGTGCATTCATGATCAAAAGTACTTAGACATCCTGTTATAATTTAAGGGTTTGGCTATTCTAGATATGTCTGTGCAAAAAAAAAATCAAGCAGCCATGAATCTCGTATCTTTTTTGTTTCAGCTTCACAGTCTCCCGAGGTAGATAAAGAAATGATTTACTTAGCCTGGTGTGAAAAAACTTGACTGCCCTGCATAAAGCCCAGACCTGAACCACCATTGGGATGAATTGGAATGCTGACTGCCTGACCTCTTGTGTCTGAATGGGAGCAAATCCCTGCAACATCAAGTTGCTAACATCAAGTGTAAAGCCTTCCCAGAAGAGTGGAAGCTGTTATAGCTGCAAAAGGAGGGCTAACTCCATATATTTTAAAATGCTCCACAGTCAAATTTGGATGTAGTGTTCAGGTGTCCACATAATTTGTGTACGTTTGTGTGTTTCTTCTTTGTGTGACTTGATGTTGAATGATGCTGTTGATTATCTAACGCTTTGTGGGGATTCCCATCATCTCAGATTTTCCATTGCCACCGTGTAATGGGTCACTTGAAAAATCTGGCACTGGAGACAGTAATGTGAATCATTGGCCCCTGATGATATACCTGAGAGCAGTACGGGGAGTTTGAGACGCTCAAGTCTGTGTCAATGGGCTACTTGGCGAAAGTCTTTCAACACTTGAGATGACAATGTTTATAGATGAGGCCAACTGAATTATAGCAGCTGTTGAGCAGTTGAAGAATGATTGAAAACCTTGTCAGTTGTCTCAGTTAACTGAAACATGTCACGTTGCACCTTTACTTATGGATTATGTATTCATTTAGGATCACGTTTTAGGACAAACGTAAAAAGGTGCAAAGCACCATTAGCAATGAAAATAAATTCAATGTGCAAAAACTAAAACCATACAAAACTTGAAATGAAATAAACTATTATAGATATTTGTTGTTATTACTATTATAAACTAATAATAAACACTTATTGTAAATATTTTATTACTTGAAATAAAATAAATGTTAACTGAAATAAAATTAAAACTATTTAAAAAATCTAAACTAGTTTTAGCTAGTTTCATTTTATTTAGTTTAACTTGGTAAACTAAAATTATATATATATATATATATATATATATATATATATATAAAC